CCAACCCCCAATATAGAACCGCCCCCAAGGTGGATGGGGGGGGGGGGGTTGTTCCAAAAGGGCACCTGGACTTTCTTAGTCTTTTCTTTGAAAGCATTTTGCTTCTCATCAAAGAAGCTTCTTCAATTCTAACTTGGATGAGAAGCGAAACAATTTTTTTTTAAAAAAAAGTTATTGCCTTTTGGAAGAAGCATCTTTGGATAGAAAGACAGATGGAGAGAGGGAGAGCTAGATTATCTATCATCTATCTATCTATCTATCTATCTATCTATCTATCTATCTATCTATCTATCTATATCTAGATCTATATCTTTATCTCTTAGATCTATCTAGATCTCTCTCTAGCTAGATCTCTCTCTCTCCCTTCCTCCCTCTCTCCCTCTCCATCTATCTGTCTTTCTTCCAAAAGGCAAGTTTTTTTTAAAAAAAATGTTTCGCTTCTCATCCAAGTTGGAATTGAAGAAGCTTCTTGGATGAGAAGCGAAATGCTTTCAAAGAAAAGACTAAGAAAGTCCAGGTGCCCTTTTGGAACAACCCCCCCCCCCATCCACCTTGGGGGACGTTCTATATTGAGGGTTTGAAATGGTTGCCCAGTTTGCTGCATGCCATCCATGTATGCCGAGTGTTCTGTGCAGGCTAAGCCGCAATGGCTTATTTATTCAACCGACTCTTGATTTAAAAACCCGTGAATCATCCAGCAAAGCTGGGCAAGACAATCGGGAAAGAGGTTGCAAGGACGGTTGAGATCATTTCCCTGGAGTCTGTCCCACTTAGGTAAGACTGGCTTAGCGTGATGAACAAAGAGGCTGCCTATATGGGAACCCCGCAGGGAGACAGATTAAAGACTGACATGTCATATATGTTTGAGATAGAAGGACCTTCGGGTCTTGAGATGGTCTGCTTCCTGTAAAGGGAGGTAGGGACAGTTCAAGGGACATGGTGGCTCAGTGGCTAAGACGCTGAGCTTGTCGATCAGAAAGATCGGCAGTTCAAATCTCTAGTGCCGCGTAACGGAGGGAGCTCCCGTGACTTGTCCCAGCTTCTGCCAACCTAGCAGTTCAAAAGCACGTTAAAAAATGCAAGTAGAAAAATAGGCACCACCTTTGATGGGAAGGGAACAGCGTTCCGTGCTCCTTCGGCATTGAGTCATGCCGGCCACATGACCACAGAGACATCTTCGGACAGCGCTGGCTCTTCGGCTTTGAAACAGAGATGAGTAGCGCCCCCTAGAGTCGGGAACGACTAGCACAGAGGTGCGAGGGGAACCTTGACCTTAATGACTAGATACTGAGCCAATGTGACATGTAATGCCTAGAACAGCAAACTCTGGTTTCAGGTAAGTTTTCTAACCCAGGATCCTATTCAGTGATGATTTGAATCCATCTCTTCTGCTTTCATGGTAAACAAACCAAGATTGTTGGCTCCAAGGTCAGCCTGGGATGTGTTTTAACCTCTTAACTGGGTTCTTTTTGTTGTGCCTGGTTTGTTCAGACCGACCGCTTCCTATAACCTTCACATCCTTCTTCCCAAAAGCTGTTTTTATTTCTTGTTATTGATCTGTAGCTAAGTGTCTTGCGTAGAGTGATGGCTGGAAGGCTTTCGTCGTTCTTCGGCGAGGTGGAATTTCTTTTATAATTTATTTTTCAGATCAATAAAAGGCAGGGGCAAAATATTTTAACAAACCCACTGCTGTTAGCTGAGACTTCAATTATCCTACGCTACGTACCGTGTTCCCCCCGAAAATAAGACAGGGTCTTATTTTCCTTTGACAAACCCACCCCGAAATAAGCGCTTGGCCTTATTTTCGGGGAGTTCTTATTGTTTTTGAGGTGTAGAAGGCGGTGGTCACCTCGTGGCTGTATTGCAATATTTTCGGGGAGGGCTTATTATTTTTGGGGAGGGCTTATTTTCGTGCATGCGCTGAAAAGCCCGATTGGGCTTATCATCCGGGGAGGTCTCGTTTTCGGGGAAACCGGTCCTCGGCTTCATTGGGACCAGGATTTGCTAAGCAAGGGGCTTGTTGTGAATTTTGGCCACGGAAGTGTTGGGGTGCTGCAACTGTTGCTAAGTCACTTTTTTCTTTTCCCGGCGGGTGACCGCTGCGACTTTGAAGGGTCACTGAAGAAATGGTTATAATTCACAGGGCTACCTGTGGGCTTCTGCTCCAGCATGTGCTGGCGGAAGAAAAGGAAAACGGCGACGAAGGGAAGGTAGCCAGTTTTGGTTAAGTGGGTAATTTTTATCGGATTAATTTTAGCAATTGGGTAGGCTGAATTTCTTCTTCTTTCTTTCTGTCTCTTCCTTTTTCTCCCTCCCTCTCTCTCTCTTTCTCTTTCTTTCCTCTCTTTTCCTCTCTTTCTTTCTCTCCCTCTTTTTCTTTCTTTTTCCTTTCTTCCCCTCTCTCTTTCTCTCCCTCTTTCTTTCTTTCTCTCTTCCTCTCCCTCTTTCTTTCTTTCTTTCTTTCTCTCTTTCTCTTTCCTTTCTCTTTTCTTTTCTTTCTTTCTTTCCCTCTTTCTCTTCCTTTCTTTTTCCTTTCTTCCTCTCTCTTTCTCTCCCTCTTTCTTTCTCTCTCTCTTTCTCCTCCCTCTTTCTTTCTCTCTTTCTTTCCCTTTCTTTCTCTCTCTCTTTTCCTTTCTCTTTTCTTTTCTTTCTTTCTTTCCCTTTCTTTCTCTCTCTTTTCCTTTCTCTTTCTTCTTTCTCTTTCTTTCTCTCCCTCTTTCTCTTTCTTTCTTTTTCCTTTCTTCCTCTCTTTTTCTTTCCCACTCTTTCTTTCTCTCTCTCTTTCTTTCTCTTTTTTCTTTCTCTCTGTTTCCTTTCTCTTTCTCTCTCTCTCTTTCTTCCTCCCCCTCTTTCTTTCTTCCCCTCCCTCCCTCCCCCTTTCTTTCTCCCTTCCTTCCTTCCTTCCTTCCTTCCTTCCTTCCTTCCTTCCTTCTTTCCTTCTCCTTCCTTTCCCCTCCCTCTATTTTACTTCGCTTGTGGGAAAAGCTGGACGGCCACCCGCCGTAAGAAAACGGGGACGTTATTATCTTTTCTTTTTTGCACTTTCTATCCTGCCACGTACCAGCCCTGACTCCTTGGCCTCCGCCGTCCATTACGTGATCTTTTCCAAGAGCAGCTTTCTTGCTAAATGTTGCTCAACTGTGCTCCTCTGGTCCTCGCCACTTTCAAGAGAAGGGCTGTTCGGGGAGGAGGGGGGGGGGCGAGAACCGGGACCACCGTAACCATGGCAGGCCAGGCCTCCTTCCCTTAAAACAGTTGGTTCTGGTGCTTTTGCAGAGCTCCGAATCCAGCCTCAAGAAGAAAATGATGAAGCGGAAAGGGAAAACGGAGAGCCCTTGGTTGAAACCTACACGGAAACGAAGGCGGAGAAATAAAAAGAAAAAACCCAACTTGATAGGTAATGGAGTTGGACAGCTGCTATTATTATTATTATTGTTGTTATTATTGTTGTTGTTATTATTATTATTATTATTATTATTATTATACTTTATTCATTAAGCATGAAACTCAATCAACTGAACATTGAAAAATGCATTTGCTGGATGTGAATGAGCAGAATTCACAGTCAATCAATAAAAGGGGTTTTTGTCGGGACCAGGAGTTGGCTTCATACTCTTGGGAAGCCTCGATCAGAACACAATCTTGACTTATAGAGAGGCTTCTTCTGTTCTGCGAGACAAAGATGGACCTTTCTGGTCCCTTGGTCTATGGGCCAAGTTCAGGATCAAAGCCCCGAGCGGTGCATGTGTCCGTCCCTCTCTGGACAGGTTTTTTTTTTAAAATCACAGTCCACCAAAGCAGGAATGTGGGCTTCAAAACGGAACCTGTGATATCTTGGATCCTCTTAACTAGCTACTGGTTAAGAGATAATCCAAGGAGCTTGGAAAACCCCAGTGGGGCTCCTGACTTTCCCCCAAATGCCGGCAGAAACAGAATAGCCGTATCCAGGTGCTTCACGTGTAGGTGGAAAAGCAGCTGCACCCATCGATATTTATAGCGCTGTGTCTGATAGGAGAAGTGACCGGTTGGGTTGAGTTGGGTTGGGTTGTCCTCAATCTTGGAAGTTCTTGTTTCTGAGATGAGATGCTGGTGGTTTCGCTCGTCCTTCCTTCGGGAGAAAGTTGTGGGCCCTGAGTTGATCTTGGACTCCCCGCAAAATGCCTGGGGTCGTTTCCAAACGGCCGCTCCATCCGTAGGAAAGGGATAGGAGTGGTCCAGGGGTCAAAAAAGAAACTAGCGCTCCTACTGGAAGTTGTCTTGCGTCTCAACGTGTAGGGCTGTTCAACTCCGGTTCTTGACCCCTTGCAGTAGTTCGGCCTCCTCCTGGTGCCTAAGCTATCATTTCATTTTTTCGTTGTGCCGTTGGGCTTTTATCACAACCGCCGGGATCTTTCTGCCCTTGGGCCAATGGCAGCTGAATTGGGCAGAAGGAAGGGCCCAACGATGGGGGGCGTTTGGTCTTTGGGCGCCCTTTGCTTGTTCCCACGTGGCAGGGGTGTGTGTGAAGGGCTTTGTTTGTCGGTGTGTGTGCATGTGAAAGATGGACGTGCAAGTGGAGAAGAAGCATGAACTGGTTCCCACACGTTAGTTTTGATTAGCAGGCTCCGCCTTGCTGAATTGGGAGGCGATGATTGTGTGTGCCTTCCGCCTGGTGTCTTCTGGTGTCCAGGGATGATTGGCTCTCGTCTGCCTTGGGCTCCGCCAGGCTTTTGGCATCTGAGTAGGGTGAGCCAAGAGGAACCCAACTCCCTCCCTCCCTCCCCCTCTCCCTCTCTTTCCTCCCTCCCTCTCATCCTTTCTTCTTTCTCTTCCTTCCTTTTTCCTTTCTTCCTTCCTCTTTCTCTTTCCTCTTTCCTTCCCTCCCATCCTTTCTTCTTTAATTTCCTCCCCTTCTTTCTCTTTCTTCCCTCCCTCCATCCTTTCCTTTCTTCCACCCATCCCTTTCTCCCTCCCTTCCTTCCTTCCTTCCTTCCTTCCTTCCTTCCTCCCCCTCATTCTCTTTCCCTTCTCTTTATTTCTCTTCCTTCCATCCAACTCTTTCTCTTTCCCTTCCTTCCTTCCCTCCCCTCTTTCTTTCTCTTTCTCTTTCCCTTCCTTTTTATTTCTCTTCCATCCATCCCTTTCTCTTTCCCTTCTTCTCTTTATTTCTCTTCCTTCCTTCCATCCATCCTTTTCTCTTTTCCTTCCTTCCTTCCCCTCTTTCTTTCTTTCTCTTTTCCTTCCTCTTTTTCTTCCCTCCCATCCTTTCCTTCCTTCCACCCATCCCTTTCTCTTTTCCTTCCTTCCCCTCCTTTTTTCTCTTTCCCTTCTTCTCTTTATTTCTCTTCCCTCCCTCCTATCCCTTCCTTCCATCCATCCCTTTCTCTTTCCCTTCCTTCCCCTCTTTCTTCCTCTTTTCCTTCCTCTCTTTCTCTTTCTTCCCTCCCATCCTTTCCTTCCTTCCTTCCTCTGAAAGGGAAGCTACCCCCATTTGAAGCTTAACCTTCCTGGGAGCCGAGAACTTTCCCACTGTGCAACAGGAGGAGATCTCCCTCCGATCCCGGAGAAGGAGAAAAGAGAGATCTCCCCCCCCCCACCCAGAGAGCTCAGGGGGCCCAGCGGTTGCCTTTTAATTGTCCTTCCCCTCCGCATCTGTATTTACCGATCCTTCGGCGGGCGCAGCCTGCCTACTGTCTGCTAGGCGATGAATGTGGCCTTTGAGGAGAGAGATACGCGCAGGGCTCCTTCCTGGCGTTCTCAGCCTTCATGCCTTTCAATCCCAGGCCCCGAGTCTTACAAGCCACCCCCCCAGGGGAGCGAAGAGGGGGCTGGGCAAGAGGACAGCATGGAGTACCTGGAGGTGCCTTTGCATTCCTTGGATCTGCGGGTGAAGGGAGATCTGCCTTCGCAACCAGAAGGTGAGTGTGTGTCAGGTTTCTAAATATGGCCATGTACCATTTTGGATCTTTGTTTCCTTGGATTCATTTCTCTATATTAAGATGATGCCCCCTGGTGGCTGCTTAACGGGAGGAGGAGGAGGAGACTGGCGTCCTGTATAAAGAGAGATGGAAGGGGTGTGTGTGTTTGTGTGTGTGTGTGTGTGTGTCACAATGGATCCAATGGAGAGAGCAGTAGATCCCCATTGGCCCAGAAACCTCAGGAGAAAAAGAGGGAGATGGGGCAGAAAAATAATATGTTGGGGGAGAATCCTCATTAAGGACTGTAGAAGTTGTTGGTGCTCCATCACTGGAGGGTTTTAAAGAAAGAAATGGGGAAAAAAAACTGGACAGCCACCTCTCTGAAATGATACAGAGTCTCCCTGCTTGAGCAGGGGGGTTGGACTAGAAGACCTCCAAGGTCCCTTCCGGCTGTGTCCTGATTCTGACGGATGAGGGTGGGTCTGGATGCTGCATAACCCTCTCCATTCACTGGCGGCACCTTCAGTGGTGTTGACCCTGTTATGGAGTCTCCCTGCTTGCGCAGGGGGTTGGACTAGAAGACCTCCAAGGTCCCTTCCCTGCTGTGTTCCGATTCTGACGGACGAGGGTGGGTCTGGACTCTGCAAAACCCTCTCCATTCCGCATCTTCAGATGACTTCCAGCTCTGGTTTCTTCTTCCTTTGCTCCTCTGCTGACCAGGAATAGCCCCTCTTGCTTCTTACCAGAGTTCAGATCCCATAGACTTCTATGAGCTACCTGGGAAGCCAGAGTCACCCGACCCACAGTTTGGCTCAACCGGGGAAGCTTCATCTGGCTGCCGAGTTTTATTTCCCGAGGTGGCATTTGCTTCTGATCTCCATGCCGTGAGACGCAGTCTGCCCTGCTGGTAGGAGACCCTGGTCCATCTCCCTTCCGAGCCCACCGTGGTCTTCGCTCTTGTTCGAGTTGGCAGGAAGGAGTTTCCCCTTCTCTCTCCCTTCCCACTTGTTAAGAGCTTTGGCAAGGCACCGTTTTGAGAAACGGTGCCACCCACCCGTGTGGGTGGAGAGCATCGGTTTCTAGCGGCAGCTGCCGAGAACCAGCCCTGGGGAAGTGTGGTCCAGTTCAAGAGATAGTAGATTAGTTTAACCATTCTGAGCAGCCTCTATGGGAAATATTGTGGGGTTTTTTTGAAGAGCTTTTTTAATTTTTATTTTCATGCAAGTATCCACAAGTATACCATTACATCTTAACAAACACTATTATGTATTCTCCAATATTCTATCAATTCCTCTCACCATCTACCCACAATGACTCTCATTTGCTCTTCTGCTTTCCCTACACCATATTATACCTGTTCCACAACAGCACTACCTTCCTCTCCTTCTCCTTACCTCCTTCCTTCCTTCTACCATCCCTCTCTTCTCTATTTCCCCTTCCTCTCTCCTTCTCCTCTCTCCTATTCTTTTCCTCACCTCTGCTTCTGTATGGGAAGTGCTGCTGTTTGTTAGTTGCAAAGTCGTGTTTGACCCATCGTGACCCCAGGGACAACATTCCTGTCTTCCTGTCTTCTTCCTTCCTGTCTTCCTGTCCCCTACCATCCTCTGGAGTCCATTTAAGCTCACGCCGATTGCTTCGGTGACCCCATCCAACCACTTCCTTCTCTGTCGTCCCCTTCTTCTTTTGCCCTCCATCTTTCCCAGCATTGGGCTCTTCTCCAGGGAGTCCTTCCTTCTCATTAGGTGGCCAAAGTACTTGAGTTTCCTCTTCAGGATCTGGCCTTCTAAAGAGCAGTCAGGGTGGATCTCCTCTAGGACTGACCGGTTGGATGGCCTTGCAGTCCAAGGGACTCAATGCAGGAGTCTTCTCCAGCACCAGAGTTCACAGGCCTCCATTCTTTGGCTCTCAGCCTTCCTTATGGTCCAACCTTCACAGCCATCCGTTGCAACTGGGAAAACCACAGCCTTGACTATGCACCCTTTTGTTGGCAGGGTGATGTCTCTGCTTTTTAGGATGTAGAAGCCCAGACCCCCAATCTAGCTCCCATAGTTGGGCTGAAATCAAAAGACGGCATGTTCCTGTCCTCTCTGGAAGGCTGCAGATGTGTCGACCCAATGCAGGCACCTTGGAAGAACATTCCTCAACCCCGGATGGTTGGAATGTGTTTGCCAAGAATTCTCCTAATCTCCAAACGGCTGGAGGACAGCAGAGCTAAATAGGGACCGCAAAGAATATGGACCCAACGGACATTTCTGACAATAAGGAATCCTCAGGGTGCCATCAACGTGTCCTTCCTCTTTTTTCCTCTCTGTAACTGTTCTTCTGACATGCACGCTTGACTATGGATGGAGCACAGATGTCCCACAAACCCATCATTCTTCAAATAAAGCCACCCCTTCCCCCTCCCCTTCAGTCTTCGTCCTTAACCTGAGATATGATATTCAAGAGAATAACAAGAGTTGTTATCCTTGGGCCTTGGAGGTCTTCTAGTCCAACCCCCTTGCTCAAGCAGGAAACCCTATACCATTCCAGACAGGTGGTTTGTCCAATCCCTTCTTGAAAACCTCCAGTGATGAGAGCAGCCACAACATCTGAAGCCATTCCACTCATTGATAGTTCGAACCGAACAGGTTCTCCTTATATCTGGGTCGCTTCTCTCCTTGATTCGTTTCCATCTGTTGCTTCTCCTCTTGCCTTCGGGTGCTTTGGAGAATTAAATTGACCCCCCCCTTCTCTTTCTTTGTGGACGTCCCTTGGGGTCGCCTGCTGTGTCTTAACCTTCTGTAGGAATCTCTTGTGTATTTGTTTTTTCTCCTGAGGGTCTTTCTAATGCTCCCGGAGCAATGGAAACAGGTTTCCCTTCCCCCCACCCTCCTTTCTTTCTCCCGCAGGTCTTTCTAATGGTTCTGGAGCAATGGAAACAGACAGTCTTCAAGAAGTGCCTCTCTGCAGCTGCCGGATGGAAACCCCGAAAAGCCGAGAGATCACCACGCTAGCCAACAACCAGTGCATGGCCACGGAGAGTGTGGATAAGGAGGTAAGGTCCCTTTATGTCTCCTCCTCTCTGCTACTTGCGGGTGACTGTTGGCTGTCTGGTTCACCTGCACAGGTGAGGCTGTTAAGGGCAGGAAATCGGCAGCAGTTCGAATGAAGACAGGTGTACTGCATGCTAACCCTCTCTGTAAGAAATCTGAACTAGCGATGGACAAAGTGAATTGGAGGTAGAGAAGAGTCAACAGAACTCAAGGTGGGCTGGGCTGGGCTTGGTTCTCACGTGGGAGCAAACGGACTCGAGACTAACGACACGCTTGACTCCTCCCTCAGGCTGGTTAGCTCCTACAGACACATCTGTGGAGATTCTCAAGTCATCCAGGTTACGGTTGCCAGAAAGTCCAGTTGCCTCTTGAAAAAGCACCTTTGGGACTCCTGCGAACACCTTCAGCCTTGCATTAGGCCTCTGCTTTCAACCCTTAATTAAGCTCCTGTGCTGGGACTAGGAGTGGGTTTAACTGTTAAGATAACCGAGCCAGTCCGGAGCTTCCCAAAGCCCTTCCCTTCTGATTGTAGGTTAGGTGAGGTCCATTGCATGCCTTAAAGTTGGTATTTGTCTTCTTGAGGAATGGGTTTCAGAGTGGGTGAGATGAGTGGGCTTCAGAGTGGGTGGAGGGCTTCACACAATCGCCGAGAAACACTACTTTGGAATCCCCTGGTAGATGGACTGAGTTTACATCTAGGAAGGAAGGCAGGAGAAAAGGAAGGAAATGAAGAAGGAAGGAAGGAAATGGAGAGAACAGAAAGGAAAAAAGAAAGGCAGGAGAGAAGGAAGGAAATGGAGGGAACATAAAGAAGGAAGGCAGGAGAGAAAGAAGGAAGGAAATGGAGGGAACAGAAAGAGGAAAGAAGGAAGGCAGGAGAGAAGGAAGGAAGGAAATGGAGGGAACAGAATGGAAAGAAGGACGGCAGGAGAGAAGGAAGGAAATGAAGGAAATGGAGGGAACAGAAAGAGGAAAGAAGGAAGGCAGGAGAGAAGGAAGGAAATGAAGGAAGGAAGGAAATGGAGGGAACAGAAAGAGGAAAGAAGGCAGGAGAGAAGGAAGGAAATGAAGAAGGAAAGGAAGGAAATGGAGGGAACAGAAAGAGGAAGGAAGGCAGGAGGAGAGAAGGAAAGAAATGAAGAAGGAAATGGAGGGAACAGAAAGAGCAAAGAAAGAAGGCAGGAGAGAAGGAAGGAAATGAAGAAGGAAGGAAGGAAATGAAGAAGGAAGGAAGGAAATGGAGGGAACAGAAAGAGGAAAGAAGGAAGGCAGGAGAGAAGGAAGGAAATGAAGAAGGAAGGAAGGAAATGGAGGGAACAGAAACAGGAAGGAAGGAAGGCAGGAGAGAAGGAAGGAAATGAAGAAGGAAGGAAGGAAATGGAGGGAACAGAAACAGGAAGGAAGGAAGGCAGGAGAGAAGGAA